AGCTTCTTCAGACTTCTGACTTGGATTAAAGACCAGCAGCTTTGTAGGAATCCTCCAGGCCTTCAGTGCCAGACTGCGACTTCTGAGACATCCAGCCTGGTGGACTGAGCAGTTATGGGTTTCTCAGCCTTTCCAGTGTATGGACAGTCACCACTGAATGATCCAACCTGTATTGTGTAAGCCCATCAAATAAGTCCTCTATCAGTTTTATTCCTCTAGAGAACCCTAATTACAGTAGATAAAGATAGGGTGTTCCCCTCAAATCTCAGCAAAGGAGCTTCCTTATGCAGTAGATGGAGATTAACACAGAGAACTACAACTGGCCAACGTGCAGAGAATAAGAGGCTGCAGACTGCTTATCCCTGAATAGGACACCTATATCAAACGTTTGCCTCCCAAGGCTCAGGGACCACTGTGGAAGAGGGGGTAGAAAGACTGTAAGAGCCAGAGGTGGTGGATGACCACAAGGAAACATAGTTTTTCAAACAACTGGTCAGTTGCTCATATGAACTCACAGCGATGGTGACAGCATGCACAAGTCCCACATAAGTTCAAGCCAAACAAAATCCCAGCACAGATATAGGGAAGTAGGTAACCCTACCTGAGGAAACCCTAACCCTACCTGAGAAAGTATTGGCAACCGATGACTGCTGGGAGCAGGAAAGCCAGTCTCTTTCAAGGGTGTGACACTTGGTAGGTTAATCAGGCTGGAGCCTGGAGTGTGGATGGAGCCACAATGAAGAACATTTGGGAACACAAATTAGAATCTGTAGATAGAGGAGGGATCTAAATCTGATCAAAACATGTTATATGAAAGCCACAAAAATTTAATTTAAAAAGGGGAAGAATGGGATGTTCCAAAAGATATTTAATTTAATGTGAGATTAGAGAATGCCAGAATACGAAGCCTAGCCAACACTACATGGTTCTTGTTTTTTAATTCAGATGGTTGCCTGGCATTGTAGTATGAGCGATTCAACTCCAAGACATGCTGATGTCTTGGTGTCCCAGGACTTAGGAGAGCAACCACAAAGAACTGCTTGACAGGCGAGAGGGCCAGGGTGGAGAGCAGTTCTGGCTGCTGTTAAAGATGGTCATGGCACTTGAGAGGTGGCCAGCTGTTAAGGCTGCTTTCTGCTCTTCCAGAGATCCATACTTTGTTTCCCAGCTCCCATGTTCGGTGGCTCATAATCACCTGTAACTCCAGCTCCAGAGGATCTGACACCCTCTTCAAGCCTCCACAGGAAATACACCCAATGTGGCACACACAGAGAGACACTCCAAAACACCTTTTAAAAATGGCCATGAAGTTCAAGGCCTAGAGTCTAAGTTCTGTGTAAAACAGACATGGTTCAAGCAACTGTTGGTTCCAGAGGTGCCTTCCAGGGTTGGGGCTGATGGGAGATCCAGAAGTGATTCAACCTGGTAATAAGAGAGATGTGGTCGAAGTCTTGAGATCTGCCTCTGTGTGGCATAACTAAAGTCAGTGGTGGGGGGGCACTCTTTTTTTTTAAGATTTTATTTATTTTTATTTTATGAGTATAAGCATTTTGCCTGAATGTAATTGCAGCTGTGTCATGCAATGCTTGTAGAGGTCAGACGATTCCCTGGAACTGTAATTACAGACAATTATTAACCAACATGTGGGTGCTGGGAACCAAACCTGGGTCCTCTGCGAGAGCAACCAGTGCTCTTAACTGCTGAGCCATCTCTGCAACCGCAGGATGGGCACTCTTGACTTCCACTGAGCAGATACTGTCAATTTCCAGAATATTCCATGACCTCTGATCTTTTCTATCACCTCCACTCTCTCCTCCTGCCAAATAATGAACCACAGAATCGTAGCTGCCTAGTTATATACCTGTCTCCCTCACTAAAGCATATACTCCATGAGGTTGGATCTTACCTGTCTTACTAGCCATGTTATCCTCAGTGTTTAGTACAATGACCAACACACAGCACTTTCACAATAAATATTTGAATGACCAAATCAATCAATCAATGAACTGAAGAGAAAGAAGCCAGGGTAGGCTCAAGCATATGGGCTGAGACCTTAGTCAACATCTAGAACTCAATTTTAGGTGCTAGAGAACAAACATGTCAAGGGTAACCAGGCTCCTTTTGAGTAGATGACATCAACACTGGTGTCAGCAAAAAGTACTGTGATGATTCAGAGTACTCAAGGATCCAGGGAAGGTCACACAAAAAGGGAGACTTGTAAGTCAGATTGGAATTTAGCAGCAATGACTAGGACTCCACATGTGGAAGGTATTTGATGTGATTCCTAGCCCCACAACTGAACTTGTTCACGGGAAGTCCTACCCTGATCTGCAATAGAGCCTGGAAAACTGGTCCTATCCATAGACACAGAAAGTTGGGACAGAAGGGAGGTGAAGATTGGTAAGAAAGAGAAATCTCACAGAAGTTTACAAATGTTGTCTTTCTCTAATTAGGCAACATTTTAAAATGCCTAAGAATCTGAGGATGAAACTTGAAACATAATCAAATGGTTTGGAGATCCATGCTAAAGTAAGCCAACAAAGATTAAAATGACACTGCTGTCATTGTAGCTTTACCACTTAACTCCTGCTGAGTGAGGTCTCCAATTCACCACTTCCCTGACTGCTCAGCAGTAAGGTAAATAGAAAATGCCTCAGACAGGGCTGGTGTTCAGTAGACCTACCAAGTGGCCCCTGTTTTAAGTGTGGGCACTAGAAATGGTGTAGGCTGTAGGGTCCAGTGTCTGAATGGAATGTCCATCATTGCTTATGCCCTTTGCTTTCACACACACGCACACACACACACACACACACACACACATAGCCTCTCAAATATTTGCAAACATCAGTAGACCCTCAGAGGCTTACTTCAGGTAAAGGACAGACTGCCAACCATCCACCAAGGCCTAGAGCACAGGCCTCTGAGTGAGTAGGCTACCCACTAAATCAGTAACAGTTGCACATCCACACATGTGATGTAACTCCAAAATTAGAGGCAAGACATTGAAGACCGTGTTTTGTTGAGAATCTCTCAAAATACACACAATTAGAATCACCTGCAATCCTTAAAAAGACTAGCTCTGGGGTTTACCCACTCAGCCATTAAATAAGAAATTTCCTGGAACTGGGCTCAAGCTCGAATGTTTTTCAAAGGTTCCCACGTGGTTCTAGCATGCTCATGTATGTGTAGCAGCAATCTGTGGAACCACAGCACTGACATCAGGGAAGAGCAAGTTGAAAATGCAGGATCCCAGAAGCCTTGCCACCAGAGCCAGAATCAGACCCTCAGGTTAGAGTTTGTGTTTAAATGAGACCATCATGTCACAATCTGAGCAGCAACGCTGGCTTTCAACTCTCAATTGGGGCCATCTAGAGGATATGTGTTTTTGTTTGGGGTTGTGTTGTGTTAAGATGGGTACTTGGTCTCTGCCACTGAAATTTCTATTTAATTGATCTGGAAAGGACGCAGTATCAATAGCGTGAAAAAAAAAATCTTCCCTGGCTTTATTGATTTTCCTTGAACACTGACAGGGCTGAGAAGCACCATGCTATGTAGACAGCGTCTCCATGATAGGCCAAGTTCTCAGCAAAGAATGCCTTCGTGTAGGGCATTATGAAATATGATGCTCAGCAACATTTTCCCCTTTCCTGTGGTTACCTCAGAATTGGAACAAACAACAGATGTGGTCTAACTTGGAATATTCCAGCAACATGTTTAAGAACTGTCCATTTCCGGTGCTTCTTTTTTATAAATGTGTGGGGGAATGTGTATTTTCCTCTTCTCATATCCATAACGTCATGACTACCTCTATTTGCATAAGGGCTATAACAAAACTGGAGTATGCTACACTTAGGGGCATGATTCATGTCTAGTTTTACTCAGGGATAAATAGGGTTAGTGAGATGCCTTAGTAGGTAAAGGTGCTTGCTGCTAAGCCTGAGGACATGAGTTCTAGCCCCAGGACCCACATGGTAGAAATAATTGATTCTTTCAGGAGTAAATAATTCTAAATATTTATATGAAGACCAACATGGTGATGTGGGTAGAATGTATATTTCTTGTGAATTCTCATGTGTGTACACACACAAGCTTGCATGCGTACATGTTCATGTGTGTGCATGTGTTTGTGTGCATGTTTGTGGTGCGAATACTTATGTGTGCAGGTGTTTGTACATGCATGTGAAGGTCAGAGAACAATTTCAGATGTCTTTCTTCAGGCAACTTCCACCTTTGGTTAGAGACAAGGGTTTCCCATTGGTCTGGAACTTTGCAAGCAAGTTTCCAGAGATCTGTTGGCCAGCAGTTTCCAGAGATATGCCTGTCTCTGCCTCCCATCTCATCATCACTGGAATGACAAGCAATCACCACCATGCCTAATTTTTACATGGGTTCTGAGGCTCCAAACTCAGCTCCTCATGTTTGCAAGGTGTATGTTTTCCTAACTGAATTGTCTCCTCAGCTCATTTCTTGAGGTTAAAGCAAAAGACTTCAAAGAAATTTTGTGCTTTTAGTGGACACTACAAGCTCTGGCTCAAACCTCTTGGTAAGATAAAGTTATTTTTCCTCTTCCCATAGACTAATGAAGGAAAGTTCAAGAAGTGCTGAAGCAATGGAATTATTTGAAATGTGACGCTCTTACTTGGCTTGGTTTCAAACCTAAGCAGCTGGTGCATCTTGGCTTATCTCGAATGCTAGAAATGCTGTGCCATTTGTCACTCCATTCCCAGCCAAGGGTCATACAGAAGCTAAAATAAATTCTAAAAGCTGTTTTTGTGAGTGTCTTAATTTTATTCACATGAGAGCTCAAGGGGCTGACAAAGATTCCCCCAACATTTCTTCCCATTGGGTTGAATTAGTTCAGTGGCAGACAGTGTGGGTTGAGGGGATGTGTACTGGCACAAATCAAGAGCCCATCAGGAATCCAGTTTAATTTTAACCTAGTGGCTTGTCTAGCACATTTGCTAGGGAATAAATCTAACGCTCACTGGCAAATACTTGGCAGCCCATGAGAACATCATCTTTAGAAAACACACCCTGGACCTAGCACTGGGGTGTGTCAGGCATTGTGAGTACAGGTCAGAGCTGCTTGGGTTGCCAAGGATGGCATCCCATTTCAACAGCATTGGGAGCCTAGGGCATGCAGCAGGCAGCTCTAGATCATGGTGGTCGCTCCTAGGAGCATGGCATGGCCTCTCAGTATTGGTAGGACCTCACAAGGAGCCACATGAGGAGAACTGTGATCAGAACAACAGTGAAGTTGAGAAACAGCTCCCGGGTAGACCACTCCATCCTCAGAGTGACTGGGTGAGAACTTCAGGCAGACTTCTGAGGACACACCGAGGACCTCTGGCTTCTCCTCACTTCCTAATAGAAAGTAATAGAGACAACATGGGGACATGAGTGAATGTTCCTGTAAGAAGTTGCCAAGTCTTCCCTCAAAAGAAATAGACATGTTGTGGAAGAGGAGAGTGTATGAGGTTGACTCACACAACCCTTCCTACTAAACTCATACATTGCAGTCCTAATTCCCAAAACCTAAGACTGTGGCTGTGTTTGGAGATGGGGTCTTCCAAGAGGTAATTCAGTTAACATGAGCTCACTAAGGTGGACCCTAATTCAATATGACTGGTGTCCTTATATAAAAGGATTAGGACACAGACATTACAGAAGAGATACTGTGAAAACAGAAATGACAGTTACTCGCAGGCCAAAGATAGAACCTCACAGGACCCAGTCTTTCTCATGGCCTGGTCTCCAACATCTGGTCTCACATTTCCCTTGAAACAGAGTTGCCACTCCTCTGTGGGTCTCAAGCCTGACAGCTTACCTTGAAGATTTTGGACTTTCCAACCTTCACAACCACAGTAACCAATCATACACACACACACACACACACACACACACACACGTTGTATTTCTCTGAAGAACTTAGATGAATAAGACAGCCTAGTTTCTCTGCTGTCATAACAAGACTAATATTTATTTTGTTTTGTTTTTCCTGTATTGATTGCATTGCTGTTTTTTAGTAATATATAAAATATTGGGGCTGGAGAGATGGATCAGTGGTTAAGAGCACTAGCTGTTCTTGCGGAGGACCTGGGTTTGGGTCCCAGCACCCACATGGCGGCTAACAACCATCTGTAACACTAGTTCTAGGAGACCCAAAGCTCTCTTCTGACCTCTGCAGGCATTACACCACATGGGTGCACTTACACTCACGCAGGCAATACACTCATATATATAATTTTTTTAATTTTTAAAGATTATAAAATATTACATTTTTCTGTCTTCAACTTCTGAGTGTCTGTCTGCATGTGTTAACTTTGCTATTTAGAGTATAAGTAAGCTGGGACACCAAAACTGACAAATGTTATCAACCGTTTTATTGTTCTTTCTTTGGATCATGTTTAGGAGGAGAGTACCATCATCCTTAGATTTAAAGCTGTTCTAGGCCTTCATCCAACCCTGGTGAAAGCAGGTAGTAATTCCAACAGCTGCATGGCTTCTGACAAGCCTGCACCGGCTCAAAGCCTGCTGGGGTCAACCAGAAGTCCTTCGCATAACAGGCACTCAATCCAAATAGCAAGTGTTAACCTCATGAACATTTCTGTTTCAACAAGGGCCTGAGCCAGCTATTTTTAGTCAAGCTCAGGATGTGCCTAGATTGTAAACATTTCAAAGAGCAGGGGTGGCATCTTCAGAATGCATACAGATTGGACATGCCGGAAAATACACTTCAAGAATATAGGCAATGCTGTCAATCAAACTATTAAATTCAGTGATGTAGTGGAACTGGGACTCAGTTTATGCTTTAGAAATTTTTAGGTAGATACTTATGTTTAGGATATTTAGGACAATATCCTACTACAGAAGGAAATAGTTTAGGGAGAAAGGGTATTGTTTTGCAAAAGATCAGCATTCACAAGACTGTAGGCTTGTTAGCAGTCTTCGGACATAAAAGAATTATTGATTTTATCTACTGATTCTGTTGCACTAGACCAAATTATTGATTGTATAGATGCCAGCTGAATAATCAATTTTTATTATGTAATTATTGGTATAGCATAAAGATTCAAACCAGATCATGCTAATGAGTGGATTGTAGAATCTCATCTTAGAATATAGCCAATAATGATTAATTTGTTTCTTCCTTTTAATTAATTCTTAATTTTATTGCATTTGTTTATTTGTGTTTGTTGTTTGGGAGGGGAGACATACATGCACATATGTGGAGGTGTCAGAGGGCAGCTTTCAAGAGTGGGCTCTCTCCTTCCACCATATGGATCCTAGGGATTGAACTCAGGTTGGAAGACTTGGTGGCCAGTGCCTTTACCTGCTGAGCCATCTTGCCAGTCCCTCCTTTTCATTTGGGTCCATCTTTTGACCCTCAGCGTGATGGAAATGGTCAATTGCTAGTGAAAATCTTCACAAATGGCTGTCTGAAGTAGACAGCAAGCAGGAGAAAATGGGTGGGGAGCAGAGAGAGACACTAAGTGAATGCTCAGAAGCACAGGGGAAATTAAGCTCTTACAGCCAAGGAACCATACATAGGGGCTCACAGGGACAGACCTGGATGATGAGGAACATGCTATTGGAAGTCATTTCACACTTCTGTTCATCTGACCTTTTAACTCAGGCAACTGTTATTGTATGTTGAGAAATGTCTCTCCCAAAATTACAGCTGAGAACTGACTTTTAGGGAGAAGTCATCTGTGTGATGATGTTTAGGAAGTTAGCGACGGGAAATGTGAAAATGGCTCTGTGGGTAAAACGCTTACAGCACAAGCATGGGGACCTGAGTTCAAACCTCCAGCACACATCTAAAAACTGGACATGCTGGTACATGTCTGTAACCTCTTTGCTGGGGGAGGGATGCAGAGATAGGCAGATCCCAGAGGCTCACTGGCCAGCCAGCCTACCCAAAACAGTGAGCTTCAGGTTCAGTGAGACCCTGTCTCAAAAACTAAGGTGCAGAGTGACAGAGGGAAACACTCAAGGTCAACCTCATATCCGCACATGTATACACAGAGAGGAAGTTAAAAACAGAGCTAAAAATGACAGACTAGAGCTAGTACAAGAACTGTGGTCACTCTATGGGAATATTCCATGAACAGGTTACTACAGTGATTAAATGGCCTGGCTAAACAAAGTATAAATTTTCAACCACTTTGGGGAAAAATTGGCTTTTTTTTGTTGAGTTAAAAAATGTTCTCAAAAAAAAGTTACTTCTACCATAAATGTTCAAGAACATATATACCAGGATATGTGTATAAGGAAGTTCACAGCAACTCACAGAATCCACAAACTGGAAAGACCTGTTCACAAGAGTAAATGGATGATAAATTGTGGTACTCACATACATCTGAATGCTGTAGAGCAAAGAAAATACATGATGTGTTCTAGCAGCACAGAGCAAGATGGATGAACCTCACAGTATAAATGTGGAGCAGAATAAGGATTTGCAGAAACAGCACATAGTGTGGCTGCATTTCTACAAACTCAAGACCAGGGACTGTGCTGTTTAGGAACAGACATAAGTGGTGAAACTTCCAAGAAAAACAAGGACAAGACAAGCTTAGTGCTTGGCGACAGAAAGGCAAAGAGGAGGGTGATTAGGAATGGACTCTGGGGTGCTAGCAATGGTGTATGTCTTAGTAAATGAGAGTTATACCCTTGTTTCTTGTAATTCATGTCTAAGCTACATAGCTTTTGCACCCTTCACGTTTTTTCCTGTCTTCTCTAGATTGACAGATTAACCATTACAATCCTGTCTTTCCCATGGCTTAGCTCTTACTATTTCTTGCACTTTGATGGTGACCTTAAATATTTGTTGCTGTTGTATTTTTAAATAAATAAAGCACCAGAAAGAGAATTTCCAACGTATGCAGTTCTATCAATGCATATGAAAACTGAAGGCACAAGTCTTGTTCTCACACACAGGCACTTTAGGAAGAATGAACCAAAGTTGGGTGGTTTTCCCCATCAGCAGTATGCCATTTTTCTGCTGTTAACTCACAGAAGTGTGTTGACTTCTTTCATTACTTCCCTGCAGTCAAGTTCATGCCATATGAGCCAAAGTGATTGCCTATGGATGAACTAAAACCATCAAAACTGTAACTAAATTTTACAAGAAATTTGACATTGCTTTCTTCTGTTATATGGAAAATTATAAAACTGGAAAAGGAGAAAATGCATATCAGAGAAATCCACAAATCAGAAATCTTCACTTTACACCTTAAGAAATGCCTTATAGTATGGACATTACCTGTTCCATCAAGAAATGTAAGCAATGCTCAGCCTATCATCTACAACTTGGACACACACACACACACACACACACACACACACACACACACGCAGAGTATGCTGAGCACAAAATCCTTTTTACCTGAAGAGGGGTAGACCACACCCAGGCTGCTCTAGACTGCTTGCTCTCTCCAACTCCAGATGTCTCCTGGGCTGTCTGAGCTCCTGGACTCTGGACAGGTCCTAAAGTAGTCTGGGGGAGGTGGCCATCACTGTGATGTCACTGATGAAGCATCTCAAAGGAACAACCTCTGAAGGTTCAAACCTATTTCTGTGCTCAGGACATGGAAATACGGTGACTAAAGTTTTGCTGCTTTGGCTGCCAATTTGTATTAACACCACAGAGATGTAAAAAATCTCGCTTCTGGTTGACTTGGTGCAATGATGTGGGATTTAAATTTATCTCTTACAACTTGATGGAATATCTTTAGAACACTGTTAAGCAGAAGTGATAGATTAATTTTAAAAAGTCCTGCACATGACTTCTTTCACGACTAAACGTGAAGGTTTTCAAATGTGACTTCATTTTACCACCAATATCTTTAGCTTTTTTAAAAATGAAGTGTTCTTTGCTTTAAACCCACATGTCCCGCATCATAGTCCAGAATTCCACAGATGCTCCTTCAGAACTGACTTTTGTCCAGACAATGAAAGTTTCCTCACCTGTGACACTTAACTTTCCAGCTGAGCTGTGCATGACATGCTTACATGTTCATCGACAGTTTCTTATGAAACAGCTGCAGAACACGCAACTTGTATGTCTGTGTCAGTAAACTAACAGCAGTAAAAACAGATGGCAAAACTCAATCATTTGGACAGAATGAAGTTAGAACAGAACTGGTCAAAACTAGTGAGAATGAAGGACTAAAGAGATCTGCAGCATGACCTAAAGGAATAAAATGATGCAATTTTCAAATACAAACGCTGGTTCAAATCAGACTAAAGTGAATTTATAATCAACAAATCAGATATCTGGGGGCAAATGGAGCTATTTAACTGTTTAACTCAACTTGAAAGTTGATCAGTTAAGGAATTTAAATATGACCCTAGTAAT